AATTCCCCAAAACTCTTTTGTAAAAGAGTTCATCTTGCATACTTGTATTTGTCTTAATACTAGAAACTATGATGTAATTTGAAGCCTACCTAGATCAGTAGTTTTTAGATCTTAGGGATTCCTGGAGGGTACCTCAGGGGACCAAGATGAGAGTGAGGTTGGAGAGTTTTGGGTCCTGCTTCTGCTTCAACCTTGAGCTCTTCTTTGATCCATGTTATTTATTTATTTATTTTAGTTCATGGTTTTCATAAGAGTCTGTGTTTTTAAACAGGGGTTGAAATCTAGAAAAAAAAAATGTGAAAGTCACAAATCTAGTTCCATTGTTTGGAAATAACCTCTCCTTTCCAGTGTCATCTATTAAAGAGGCATTTCTTATATAATTATTCATAGAACAAGTTAGTACATAAAATTTTGAAGTGGATATTGGGAGTCATAGCAAAGAGTTGCTTTGGGGGTATATTTAGGGTAGAGGGTATGCAGAGAACACAGATCAAAGGGTCTTATGAAGATTTAGACTCCTGACAAAAGACTGTAATGGGGAGGCTACTTCCTGAGCTCTGTAAAGTGGAGGGAGCAGGCTAGCATCAGGTAATCTTGCAGAGGTGTGATGGTAGGATGACTTGGACTTCACATTTAGACATACATAGTTGAGTATGAATTTCTGCTTTGTCACTTACCAATTATTTATTTATTATCTGTCACTTACAATTTATTTATTATGGACAAATTATTTATTCAGCTCTCTGATGATTTGTTTTCTCAGCTGGAATACGTCTGTAATTCTACTTCCCATCCCAAGCTGTTGGATATATTAAATGTATTAGCCTATGAAAATTGCCTAACACAATGCCAAGTGCTTAAGAAATAGTATTAATTTCCTTCTCCCTTTCCCTTCTTCATTCTGTTCTCAGGGGTGTGGAATGAGCTCAAGGCTTTCTGAGACCATCTCCTGCCTCTTTCCTGTTGACTTCAATCTCCATGTTCCAATCTTGTCTTCTCTTCTTAGGATGTGGCCAAGTTCTGCGAGCCCCAAAGGGTCAGATTTTGTTGGAGAGTTATCCCCTAAATGCTCACTGTGAATGGACCATTCATGCCAAACCTGGGTTTAATGTCCAGTTAAGGTAAGGGGCTGCTTGCTGTCGGAGTAATGAGTCTGAGGTTAGAAGGAAACACAGTAGTGGGATTGAGGTCCTAGGATTCTAGAGACTAAGAGCTAACCATCAGCACTTTATTCTTAAAAGCAGAAAAAGTGTCAGGAAGTTTGTTTATTTATTTTTTCTTCCCACTTCTCAGCTTTTTGGTGGTGGGGGGATCAAAACTATAGCTAATTAAATGCTTGTCATTCACGGCCCTAGAATAGTGGGGGCACAAATGTTTTTGAGACAAGGATAATACCAACAGAGCAAAATACTCAGAGCAATCTATCTATCCTTCCACAAATATTTGACAGGTCTTCCTATTCATCCTGCATTAGACTAGAACCCATGGGAGGAGGTAAAGAAATAAAAGACCTAAGTATAGCCTTCAAGGACTTTGTATTTTAGGGTTTATTCTTATCTTAGGTCTTTTAATTGCTGCTCTCAGAAAAAAACTTCTACTCCCACAACAAATAAACCAATTCTCTCACTTGTGTAGGAAACAAACCATTTATTCTTATGGTATTTTAGAGTCCTCTGCAAATATTTAATTTATACTGTAGTCCAAATTATAGGCCCTGTTCCACTGAAAATATAGATAAATATCACAAGAGTTCTTTATTATGAGCAATATTCATTGCTGCATCTTAGTGTTCAGAACAGTGCAAGGTATACCATTGCTGTTGTTACTGTTGGCAGTGGCCATTGAATTGGCTCTGACTCATGGTGACCTTATGTTCAACAGAGCAAAACATTGTCCAGTCCTATTCATCTTCATGATCCTTGGTATGTTTGAATTAATTGTTACAGCTACTATGTCAATCCATCTCATTGAAAGTTTCCCTTGTTTTTACTGACCCTCTACCATACCAAACATGATATCCTCCATAGATGCTCAATAAATACCTGTAAGAATAAATGTTAAAAGGACTTGTGCCTCTAGTGTCTTTCTTCTCTCCTCAAAAACACCTCTGCTTTTTCTCTCCAGGGAAGCAAAGTGGCCCACTCATCCTAGAGACTTCTAGGAACATTGCCCACTTAGCTCTTTCCTTTTCTAACCAGGGGAAAGAGTGATGGACATCTCTTATCCTCTAAGGCACAAGCAAGCTTTCAATAAGTATTTTCTGAATGGATGCAGAGGTTGCCACACACGCAGAGGTTGGTTACTATGCACCCAGAGGTTTCCATGTGCCAGATGGTTCCTCAAATGGCACACTGTCCTCCGGGAAGGTAGCCTGCATTTGGAACGATCCATTGCAAAAAAGGTCTACCCTAATCCTCCTAATGAAACAGACCCTTGGGTAGCTGATCTCCCCACTCCCTATGACCCAGGTGGGGTTGGGAATGAGGCTTATTAATTGTACATCCCTAAAGGAAGCCTAGTTAAAGCAGCAAGTGAGGGGCCACATTGTTCTGCTTACTAGGCTTGAGGCTGAGTCTTCCAGGGGTGGTAAGTTCAGGTGTTCAATGCTACATGTTAATATTTCAGCAGCTCAGGGACCAGGCCAAGTGTCTCCACAGGGCCTCTGACAGAGCTTCTCCAAGATCTAGAATGCAAAAAAGAAAGAAAGAAAGAAAGAAAGGAAGGTAGATTTAAGAAGCATCTCACCTGCCCAGGCAAGGACCCCGGGGACACTTAAAAATATGTAGATTTCTTTCCAGCTAATTAAACCTGGACCTCCTGGCCGGTGATAATGATAATGATGGAAATGCTCTGAAGCATATGCACAACCTTCAGGCCAAAAGTGGAACAGTTCTTGTTGATGCCCATCTTTCTATCACCTACCATAGCCAGGTCATCACAACATCTGTCTCCTCATATTTGAAATAATTCCTCATCCATCTACACCTTTCCATCTCCACTGCCATCATTCTATTTCAAGCCACTCCCATCTCTCACCTGGATTCTGTCATGGCCTCCTACCTATCTTCCTTGTTTCTACTCTTGCAAGCTCTGTGATCTCATCTTCTCAGAGCAGCTAGAGTGACCCTTTAAACTCATAAATCATTATTTCCTTATTGTAATCTTCTAGTGGATTCCTTTGGGTTTTGGAGTAAAATCTGAACTCCTGACCATGTAGGATCAAGCTCCTGCTCTCTTCTTTGACCTCTTCTCATACCACTCCTGCTCTCACTCACCACACTGCAGATTCCCTGACCTTGTTTCCATTCCTCAAACATGCCAAGCTCATTGCTGCATCAGGGACTTTGCACTTACAGACTCCTCTGCTTGTACTATTCTTGCCCATGAACTTCACATGGCTGACTCCATTTCTTCATTGAAGTCTCTGCCAAACTATCACCTCTTCTGCTTTTCTGAGCTGATATATTCCAATGCTTTCAAATACAGAACACCTTTAGATGAGAACAGATTTCCCAGATCCCCCACATTCCTGAAATTTTGATATGATGTTACTTTTTCAACTCCTTGGGGTGAGAATTATTGAACTCAGAAACAAATTACCTTCTGATCCCTCAAGGCGAGATCTCACAGATCTTTTCTCCCCCTTTAGTTAGTCCTGCAAAACAACAGGTGCTTTTTCCATGCTCCAAGAATAAAATTAAAACATAATATCCATACTGTCCTTTATTCAACAATATTTACTATATGCCAGGCACTGTGCAAACAATGGTGGGACAAGGCAGATTGACATTCTACCCTGCACTTAAG